GGCAGGTTTAATATTACTGTATTCATATCCCCCTAATCATTAACTGCCTTACCCCATCTAGCTTTAAGTGGGGATTAGCACTCGTCATTTAACTGCATCAATGTCCGTTCTGATGTTTTGGGCTCTGCTGGAGTCTTAGCTATCCAGAGGCACTTGGGCTTACTTCTCCCAGTGGAGAGTTAAAAAGATACATTTGGCTTTCCACATGTAGTACAATGGAGTTTACATTTAGGACAATCGGGATGGAATGCACACTTAAAAAAATATAAAGGACAATTCCCAATTTGCAATAAGCCAGGTTTGGTTTAACCATGGTTTATTAAATAAGCCACAATTAGACAAGCCAAATTATGATTTGAAAACCATTACATAGCAGATGTGAACTCAGTTAACTGTGGTTTATTCGATGAGCTGCTATTCAATATGATGATACAAGAACCCATTAGGCAAGGTATCTGGCCACGGTGCATTTGGCATTGAACGTGGTGCAGGGAGTTAAGTTTCTGAAGAAGTCCAGTGCTGGGGAACAAAAATCAGAAGAGAACCTTTTAGGCCCTGAAAACATGAGTTTGTATCTTGGCTCATGAATGGATCCAATTCTTTCCATATCTCTTAAGACGGCAACTTACTTATTTTTAAACAAGACGGGACCGACCCATTAGGGAATCCGAAAATATTTTCAGTGAGCTCTTGATTCCAACCCCCATGATTTTAGTCATTCCCACTTCGCCCACTAAACCTCGCTCCCACTCTTAGACCATCGGTAGAAGCCAAAAGCGTTTTCACTGCCCCGCCTGAAGGGGCGTAGTGTGTCCGAGGGCGGGGCTTATAAATGAATCCGCGAGGGGTGGAAAAACAAATAATGCTAAGCTGCAAGAAGAGAGCGGAACGGCCGGGCTGCCACCGCCGGTGAAGGGTCCAGCGTCGCGGAGGCTCCTGCGCCCTCCCCGCTCACCGACTTAGTTGGAAAACGGAGGTTTGTGTGCGAAACGCTGAGGGTTGTGTAGAACTGAGCGCCCTGGCCCCCAAGCGCAGCACGAAAAGCCTTCGCTGCCGCAGCGACATTGGGGGGACTAAACAAAAGGACTCCTCTTTGGCCGCCCTTCTAGTGGAACACGCGGGGAAACCTGGTTCTGACTCCCCCCCCCCAAAAAAAGCCGGTTTAGGCTTCGTCCCCTTTCGGGTTCGACCTCTGGGTCAGCTGGGTCGCGTCTTCCCACATCCGTGGCGGATCTTGGTTCGCCCGGAATGTTTAGCGCGCATCTCCCCGACTGAAACGCGTGGAACGGTGTGGGTTGAGCGGTGTAGTTCGCGCGAAAGCGCAGATGCTGGTTCCGGTGTGATTTGGGGATGTGGATTGAATTGCAATGCGTCTTCTACCTGCGTGATTATTTTTTTTTTAAAAAAAGTGGCAGTATTTATTATTAATTGGTAGACCTTTTCAAGGCTTTGAAAGATTTTTCCTTGGCTTCTTAGCAGAAGAGAGAGAGCCGAGTAAAATGACTGTTTACACCAATTTCCCTGGGGAGAACTGAGGCAGCTGGGTGTTTCTGTCAGAAGCCAGTTACTAAGTGGGTGTTAACAGCCACACCTGTTGCTGAAATACCATGGGTTTCAGTGATAAGTTAACTTTTGTTGTTGTTCACTTATTTGCTCTCTTCCTACTCTTCTTGATCAGATGGGTGTTATTTTCTTGGGTTGGTTTATCAGAAAAAACTACTTTTGAATCCTTTCAAACTAGTGATAAGAGTCTAGTCGTTTGCCTTCTCCTGGCTGCTTTTTTAAATAGCCTTCCATTTTCCAAGCATCAGAGATTATTCTAGAGACTCTTCTTTCCATATTGTATCCAGCATAAAATTCTGGCCTGGTGAAACAATCTATAAAATATTATTAAACAGAGGTCTTCTACAGCAGCCTTTTCTAATGCAGGCACTCCCCAATATTTGAGCTTCCGTTTTCCAGCCAATGCCAGATGTCTGTAATGAAGGGTGCTTTTGGATGGACAGCTCCTAAACTCCTGCAGCTATTGTTCAATTTTATCATGCAACTATTTTATTTTATTTTATGTAGTGGCTTAAAAAAATGGTAGTAGTTACTCTTACTTGCAGGGTACCTTTAACATTCTGTGAATGAGGCAGGATGACTCCTGCATGAAAAATACCTTGTAATTAGGCTGCTTCAGATGAATGGGTTGGATTCAAATTGAGCATTCTGTAAATAGAAAGCAGAAGGATCCAGCAGAAACTTTTCTCTGAAATAAAGAATGAGCAGGCCATCTTTATCACATTTTGTTCCGTCTGCATTGCCTTTCAGATCAGCTTTCTAGGAAAGCTGCAGAGCAAAATAACCCTACTAAGCATTAATATCCGACCATTTTACGGGAAAGAGTGTACTCTACAAAATAAGCACTTGCTTTTTATGTGAACGGCTCCAGTGATCTTTGTAACTCGGATTAAAGCAATCTTGTTTAGCAGTTTTGGGAAAGACTTCAGTGTAAGTCTCTAGGGAAATACTACCATCTAGTAATATAATAGTAGCCTTGATGGATCTACAGCCTAAAAATAGGTTTGTATATTGATGTCTCAACATTGCTGCTGAGCATAGAGATTCCTGAAAAATATTTCACAATATTGATCTATTTTATAGTAATCCTTTGAATTATATAGTATATTGTTGGTGTGCTTCTTATATAAAGATAAATACTGTGAAATAAGAGCTATTAGAATAATATTTCCTATGCATCTTCAAATGATCTAACTCCTGTTGCTGCTTTCCATATTTAGTTTTCTAATGCTGCCTTGAATACATTAAGATGATTTTTCTATATGATTTTTAAGGGGCATAGTGTTTCTAGTGTTTCAAATGGGACCCACTGAAAGTCTGTTACTTGACATTCTTAAGTTATTTGGCCTCTTTAGGCTACACATAATGGGGGATATAACGGCACTTTCATTTTTAATCTAAGCAGTTCTGCTAAGGAGGTTCTTGTCCAGTCTTCTAAATAAGAAAATATCCCAAATAAGATGCTGTGATCAATGTTTCTTTCCTAAGGGAACTGCATACAAATAGTACCTTTCCTGATACATTGCTTTTCATTTAGCCAAGTCTTATTGCTGGAATTTGCCCTTCATGCCACCAGCCAGCTGATGCCCACCTTGAGAATTTCTAGTAAGTAGGGAGAAGATAAGGGGCACATGTAAGCAACTCGGCTTCAGTGAATACCATATGTGCTGCATTCTTCTGCTACTGGTGCTGAAGTAATGTGGCAGAAGAGCAGAGATGGGACAAATTTCTCTCGGTCTCAACAGAAAGTGGGTCTTTTGTCTAAGCACTTGATTCATACGGAAATTAGCTGGCATTGTCCTGGGATTTGAGACCAGCAAGAGTTTCTGATTCCCAATATTCTAACAGTAATAGCAAAATTATTTCTCCTCCAAGGATAGCCTTCTGAAAACAAAAATGGTAGCAGAGGGGAAGGATACAAACAGATTTGAGTGCAGGGCTCATTTCTTTTGAAATCGAGTTCTGGATTAGAGCATACATGTGGAGGCATCTTCTTCATAATTCTGTAGTTTGGAAGATCCCATCTGTCATTTTCACAAACTTCACGTGGCTGAAGAGATTTTCATATATAGTTCTTTAACAGGGAAGGCCTTTTCAAAGAGTGGAAAACAGTGTGACATTATTTAAAACTCTGGAGTATTTTTTGTATGATAACTTATTTATGGGTTCCCACATAGTAATACTAAGTCTTAAATTAGGGATTGCAAACCAGAGTGGCTGCTTTCCGATTATTAAGATCAATTGTTAACAACCATGAATTTGAGATGTAATTCTTGCAAATTTTATCTATCTAATGGTACCAAATCCAAACTTACCACATAACTGCTCAGTGCAATGTGAGCATAGTGTAACCGTACATATCAGATGAGGGAGAATTCTTCTCTCTGTCTAGGGCAATCCAGTTTACATCTTATGATCCTCTTTCTGCAGTAGTGTTTCGGTTGAGACCTTTCCTCATAAGAACTTTTCTGTGCCATTCTGTTTACCCTAAAACAAGGCAGACAGTATACTACTTCTACCCACCTAAATTCAAATAATTAAACTTAGAGTATATGCTTCTATGTGGATAAGTGTGAAATTGTAATTGTTGTGTCCAGCATTGTCTAGTGAAACTTGTAGTAGACTGACTGAAAATACTTGTTGACAGTTAGCTATTTTTTTGTAATGTGTATTTATTAATTGTCTAGAGAGGACTCTGTCTTACAAGCCAGCCTAGAAATCCTTTAAAATAAATGCTTAAATGGTTTGGCTCCAGATTTAAAGGATTCAACAGGTTTCTTATAAGTGGATTTCTCTATTTCTTTCACATGAAATCCTTTTCAAATCCCATTAAAATGATATACTATGTTGGAGGAAAGTGGTAAGTAGGGCAGACTCTGGTATACAGATAAAGGGGGTAATCAAACTTTAACAGAGGCAACTTGTCATGAATTTAATTATGTTTATGAAAGGGTCTAATCTTCCCCTTTCCCAGCCATTCCTTGTATCAGGGTAGAATGAGAGGTCTCCAGCCTAATTTTTTTAGGGGCAAAAAGGGGGGAGCTGGGAAAATAGTTTTTAATATTTTCATATAAATTTTGATCTAACAAATAAGAGCAGAAGTATCTCAGGCGCAAAATTTTCTCTTGAGGGTTTCTTGCCTCCCACAAAAATAATATGAGAATTTCAGGGATTCTGAGAAATACTGAAGTTGCTGGAGATCTAACGTGCAAAGAAAACCACAATTGTAATGAATTGAGTATAAAGAATCAGTGAACTAGTTTAGACTACAGCAAATATAAAACGGTGCTTGTAATATTTCATCCAGATTCTTATTCCTTTCCATGAAGAACATTCCCAATCAGTCATTGTAAAGATCTCAAATTTGCTTAATTGTCCTAATAGGATGTATCTTATTTCAATATTCTCTTCCCTTCTAGTTCAAACATTCATCTACAATGGCAGACAAGAGACCAAAGGCTGACTCCACCTCCTGCAGTGTACTAAGTTGGGAACAGGTCAGTCGCTTGCACGAGCTTCTGTCAGAAGTGGTACCAATTCATGGACGGGGCAATTTTCCAACTCTGAAGATAACCTTGAGGAAGATAATCCAAACTGTTCGGCGCAGGCTGGAAGAAGCCAGCATTCTAGTGCACGACGTTCGACTGAATGGTTCTGCAGCTGGTCATGTCTTGGTTAAAGATAACGGGCTGGGTTGTAAAGATCTAGATCTTGTTTTTCTGGTGTCCCTCCCAAGTGAGACTGAGTTCCAGTTGGTCAAAGAAGTGGTGCTGCGGTCCCTTTTAAATTTTTTTCCTGAAGGTGTAAACAAACACAAGATTACACCCATGACTCTTAAGGAAGTATATATTGAAAAGCTGGTGAAGGTGTCCACTGAAATTGACCGATGGAGCTTAATATCTCTTTCTAACAAATATGGCAGAAATGTAGAGCTCAAGTTTGTGGATCGTATCCGACGGCAATTTGAGTTCAGCGTGGATTCTTTTCAAATAATATTAGACTCTCTGCTTTTTTATTATGAGTGCTCAGCAAACCCAATGTCTGAGCATTTCCATCCAACTGTCATTGGGGAAAGTATGTATGGTGATTTTGAGGCAGCCTTTCTTCATCTTAAGAACAGACTGATAACTACCAAGAACCCTGAGGAAATTAGGGGAGGCGGGCTCCTCAAATACAGCAATCTTCTTGTGAGGGATTTCAAGCCCATGGACAAAGGGGAAATTAAAACCTTAGAGCGTTACATGTGCTCCAGGTTCTTCATAGACTTCCCAGACATTCTGGAACAGCAGCGCAAGTTGGAAACCTACCTGCAGAATCACTTTGCCGAAGAGGACAGAAGCAAATACGACTACCTAATGATCTTGCGGAAAGTGGTGAATGAGAGCACAGTATGCCTCATGGGGCACGAACGGAGACAGACCCTGAACCTGATCTCCCTTTTGGCCCTCAGGGTTCTTGTGGAGCAAAACATCATCCCTAACGCTAGTAATGTCACTTGCTACTACCAGCCAGCGCCCTATGTTAGCGATGTAAATTTCAGCAGCTATTATGTTGCAGATACTTCCGGCCAGGTATGTCCCACCTGGTTGCCTTGCAATTGATTTCTTATCTTCGGGGGGGCCTCTAATTCAGCCAGAATGAAGTGTTTCCTGCATTTCTCTTAGCTGCTTAAATAGGATGAATGTTATCAAGCTTTAGTCAGGTCATAAAATAGTACTGCCTTTCATAAAAGAAAATCTCTTTTCTATCTGTCCTAATGCGGGTCTGCAATTTTTAAAAGAAAGATGATCTCCAGCAACACCAGAACATTGATAGATGCTTAATTGCTTCCATGCGATCTTACTTTTTGACGTTTCATTGTCTGCAGGTTCTGTTCCCAATTCAATGGAAGTAATGAGGACTAATCTGGTATTCTTGTGCAGGAAAAATAGCTATATTGTAGTACAAAATTAGCTGATCAAAACCCCACTAAAAGGAACAGAATTGAAGCAGTTGAATGTAGGTAGCATGAGAGCCATTTTTCTGAAAGTCTTAATTAGTTTCCTTCTGGCGCCATAGCAGTAATAATGAAATTGTCTTTAAAAAGGAAAATCCTTACATTCAATTTGGTGGATTTTAGTTTAAAGAAATTGGATACTGGCAACTTCGTGCTGGCAGAAATGGCTTCCCGAATACATAGCTTTCCTGATCTCTTCTTCTCACAAGCTTCCTCGGAAATAGTTTGAGACCTTCCTTGAAGAAGGAAGGTAGCAGCAATGGAGGCAAAGGAAGTCTAAACATTTTTAGGAGGGCAGCATTGGCAATGGAGAGCTCTTGATTTGCGGCAATCCCAAAGCAGGAGGCCTGTTCCATTATTTCTCCTAGCTTCCTGTTTGGAAGACTGCCAAGCAAAGGAGGAAGCAGGAAAGTATTCTTGCAAGGGTAATATTGGATATTTGCCTTTTCTTAATAGTACAATCCAAAAAAAGAAAAAATTATGGAAAACATCTTAGGCAGCATAACAATCACCGGAAAACATAGAGGTTTATGAATCTGCAGTTTGGAATTCTATTTTCCCCTGAAACTGGGCATATACAGAATATGGAGTTAGTATTTTTCTAAAATTATATTGAAACTATAGATTTTTAAAAAGTATTTTCAATTAGGATGAAAATCCCAAGAAATGAATGCAAACTAGAAGAAAATCTAAATATATGGAACCAGATTTTGGGAGGATGGTAAGGGTGGGAATTAATGCTATTGATGATGTGAGTAGCAGTAACTGTAATAGAAATGATGGTTTAAGTAGTTACCTGAGAATAAAATACTTCAGTTAGCACTCAGTTAACACTCCAGGTTCTTGAAAAAAGTTCTTAAGAGTGAGTTCAGTTTAAAACAGTTACAAATTTCTAGCTCTTACTATTCAGGGTTTATTGGTACTTGTAGATTTTTAGGAAGCCTCTTAAAGTTCAAAGGTATAGAAAGGAGAGAAGAGCCCTCCGTCACAGCTGGTGAATAAATGAAGGTTTTGTAGGAAGGAAATCTGTCAAGCATGCTTCGACAGCTCCACTGTCTTTTTCATAAAGAAGAGGGCTCAAAACACTTGTGCAGGATTCTTTCTCAATTGCATTTTCTTGGCAGCAAAGCTAATAATACAGAATACTCTGCTAGATTATTGAAGAAATTCATGGTTGATTAGCATAGATTTACCAAATCCAGATCTCAGCAGAACACCTGAAATTCCTAAATTGTCTATTAAATACAGAAAGAAGGTAAAGATAATTTTCAACCTATAGAGTTTTACAGGTTTTCTATTGGAAAAGGCTATTTATTAAACTGTTGTATTTGTATTATAGCATAAGCATAACATCTCCAGAAAAGGAAACAAGGTAAGAATAGGGCAAGGTAATGACAAAGGAAAACATGTTTGGAAATGTTCATTACTGAGTGATAGAAATCCTTAAGTTTCTCTCAATAAAAGTTCAAAATAGGATAGCTTTTTTAAAAGTAGCATTTCTTCTGTAACTTAGAGATAAATTCTTATCTGTGGAAAGGTGGATGACCTTGGCAGTGCTAAAGTGGCACCACCTTGTTGAATTCCTTCTTGAATCAAACAGATAAGCAGAGAAATGTTGAGCCTATTTCACTTGCTGTAGTTAGGCTACATGTTTTGCTTGACCATATCAAATTGCCTGAATATTGCTGAAATTAATTGCGGTGGATTATTCAAAAACAGAAACAAAGCTAAACAGAAAGAAAGCACGATTTTCATGAAAAGATTTATTTTGCTTCCTGTTGTAGAATTGCACCTTAAGGTGAGAGGGGAATATAAAATAGAATTGTATCAAAAAGGGCACAACAAGCTAAAGTTTAGACCTTTGTTTAATATTTAATTCAAAGCTGAAATGCATAGATGATGTCTAAATGAATTTTTTACACTGGTAGAAACTTATTTTGTGTGCATTTCTGGCAAGTGTATGTTTCTTTAAATTGCAAAAATACTGTCAGTTGCTAGATAAGTATGATAGCTTTGAAGAGGGCTATTGACATGCCCCTGATTTGGTTTTCTTCAACTTGAAAGCTTAAAGTAAAATATTTTGGTCAATTGAATGGTGTATGTCCTTTTTTATTTCCTCTGCACCTCCATAAAATAAGGAGACTTTCAAAGAACTTCCCAGTTTGTTCCCAATTTCCCAACTAGTCATTGTAACACTGTGTTCTCTCCAGTGCTTGTGATCCTGCCAGACCTGAAAGTTATCACAGTACCAGTTTCTTGCCAACAGAGCCCATGAAACCATCTCATTTCAATTAAGGAAAATACATATTGGAGGATACATTTGGGCAATATCACTTGGAAGACCCAGGTTCAAATGCACTTTCAGCTGTGGAGATTCACAGGGACTGTCATCTGTTCAATCTTCTGTACTTTGCAATAATCTTCTGGGGACAGCAGTAAGAGGAGAATGCTATGGATATCTCTTGGGGTAATCTGAGTAAATAAGATGGTTTCTTGGTCTTGGTTTTCTACCATATGTTGAAGAGAGAGTTAACTTCAGATGAAACCTATATTATGACCTTGGTCTGCCTTAAGACTATAGACAAAACTTGTCTTGCCAAATCTCTCTCCTTCAAAATATCCAGGCACCCTTGCTTTCCTTTCCTTTTATACTCTTATGAATAGTCTATAATGATATGTTCTGAAATTCAGCATTTCTTATGGGCAGATCTTTGAGAATGGCTTGAAGACATTATTTGAACCCTTAAGTGACCTAGATCTGAATTTCTAACTCACTGAGAACTAGACTGTTTTAAAACCATGCTTTTTTTCTTTTTAAAGCATTGACCATATTTCAGTTTGTTTTCTATTTTGACTAAATAGATACTAGAAGATTAAATTGGGATCTTTCAGAATAACTTGTTCTCAAGGCTTCAAAGTAAACAACCTTTTGGTTTCTGACAGCTGTTAGTTTCAGTCTGTAAATTCCACAAAATTGCTTTCAAAACCTTATTTCAAATCAGAATGGTAATGATTTTAAATGTCACTTCCCAGGGACTCCTTAAAAATCATGTAGCATAACCTACTTATGCAGAAAATGTGTTCTGAAAAAGTGGATAGTACTGTTTTGCAGTTCTGAAAAGAAAAGATATAAAAATATATATAAGTACTAGTGCTAGTGTAGGTTAATTTAATCATAGAATTGGAAAGACAATTTAAGCAGTTGAACTCAACCCCGTACTCAATGAAAAAATCCAAGTTAAAGATAAATGGTTGTTTAATTTCTGTTTCAACATACCCAATGAAATGGAATCTACAGCTGCTCTGGATAATAGATTCCAGTAACACAATCCTTACTAAGAGGAATTTTCAAAAGTTAATTGGAATTTGTCTTTCTCTAACTTAAATCTATTGTTCTATGCCCTACCTAAAATTATAGAGAATAATTACTGATCTGTTTCAATGTGACATCCTTTTAGGTATTTGAAGAGTACTATTATATTCCCATTCCTTTTGAAACCAAGCCTGCCCAGTTCCTTCAATCTGTACTCATAATTTTCTCTAATTGTTATGATCTACTCTGATTATGTGACACCTATGAGTTGGGCTGAAGGGTCTGAACCTGGATTGCCACTTTCAAGGAGTTAGCAAGCAATCGGCCTTATGAGGCTGATGAGGCAGTTAATCAGCATAAGCATGTGAAGGTAGACTTGGGTGATGATGCCCAGAACTGGTCAGGTTTTTAGCCCAATGATGCATTGGTATCAGGACAGAGGTGATCTGCTTGGCCCTTCAAGAAGCAAGAATGCCTAACTGAACCATATCTGCAGCTGGATATACTTCAGAACATCCATCAGCCTGGAAATAACCCTCTATTGTCAGACCTGTGCTCCTGCTCCTTGACTTTTAGCTTTATGAGCCAGACCAGTTTGTAGAAGTATTTGGTGACTGACCCCTGGACTGTTCATATTTTGTGGGGATTACCTACAAAATATGAATTTTGTAAAGAGTTTCTATTGCTACAATGATAGATATAAGCTTTCTAGAAATGTTATACTAGGGTTTTCTCATTAAGGGTTATTTGGTTTCATTTTTCCTCTGGATTTTTTCCTCAGGCCACTTTTGTAGTAAAGCATTGCAATTTTGGAACAGGATGAATGAAGGATAAATCAGGTTTCCTTGAGATCTCTGGTTAAATGTCATTGTATGGTATGAAGGGAAAGTCTCAGTTGGGGTGAGTTTTTACTTTACCTTCATGATACAGTAGTATTGCCATTTGGTAAACATTTAGGTTAAAAATATTTGATTAGCTATGTAATTAGGTTAGGGTCTGGATTGTGATTCCTGGATGTCTATTGTTCAGTTTGGAATTAGGATTAGTTTTAGTGATTAGTATTAATTATATGTAGGAATTTCTGACACTAAATTTGGTGATAAACAGTTTCTCTTGCTGCAAGGGTTACGGTTAAGGTACCTTTTGATTTAAACTTTTTTAGTCAATGGTAGAATCTAATTCTGAGATTAGTTTCTGTTTTTATGATTTGAGCTACATTCACAATACAGTTGGAACCTCTAGGAAAACATTTAGGTTAAGCAATTTTGGATTCACCATGGGTGAAAATTAGAGTAAAGGCCATAGGGCTAAGTTAAATACATTTCCAGTAGTTGAATTTCTTATATGGATGAGATTTAGAATGAGTTTCTATGGATTGTGGTTGTCTAGTTTTGTTTCTTCTTGTGGAAATTATTTTTAGACTAATTTGGGGAATAACAAATGTCTATGGGCAGGAAGGTCAGAATAAGGTTAGGTTTAGGCTTCCTTGAGGACAGTGGTGAAATTTAACTATAGTGTTAGCTCTAGTTTTCTGGTGTAATTTTTATTCAGTGGTACACTCGTGATATGGGATAATTTATCTCTAGATAAACTCTTAGGTTAAAAACTATGGATATGCTATAGGATGAAATTAGAATTAGGTTTTTTTTAAGATCTGTGGTTCAATTTGATGTGAGAAGTAACTTCAAGGTAAATTTGTATTGTTGTCTTAGATTTCTTATGGCACTTTTTAGGGTACAGAATTTCTATTGGTAGAGTTAAAATTAGGGGTGTTTTTTATGGTGAAATTTAATTTGGGGGGAAGAATATTTTTGGTTAGCAAGTATTCTTATATTGCTGCAACAAGAGGTATTACTTACCAGGGAAATATTTAGCTTGAAATTTTCTTTGGGGTTTTTATCATTATTGGGTGTCTTACTTTTATGTTATAATAGGAAATCCTTCCATAGAAACATTTGTGCATAAAAAAATGCTGCAGATAAATTGAGATTAGAATGAAATTTACACTTCTTTGAATGGTTGTTCAATTTGATTGTGAGGACCAGCATTTAGTCAAAATTTTCTATTTAATTACCTAACATTTAAGTTTTTACAATGAAATGCTTGGAAGTTCTGCAGTTTTTTGTGCCCAAAGACCTGTCTTAGAC